ACCAAGTAAGTTTTTATTATTTTATTTTTAATTGTAGCCCTTATATCGTGGCTAGCGATTCGGAATGTAATTGTGATATTAAAAATGCATTTAGAGAAGTCTACGGTTTTTACTGGCTTATGGAATAAACGATACGAACGGACCCTAGACCATCACTGACGCGCGATTGACCGATTGCCCCTGGATGTCGGCTTCTTACAGAAACACAGCTTCCCTATCATCAAATGTCACGGCACGCCCCTGTTAAATAGGGCTTCCAAAGAAAGTCCTTCCGGGAGGTTGTCCACGTGTATCCTTGCCTTATTTCGTCAAACAAATCCTACATGTTACATTCTGACTCGAGTCATTTCAATGTAATGTACGGTACAAGTAAATTAAACTTGACAGAAAAATTGAAGGAACAGAATTGGTATGCCTTATTTTTGCATAAAATCTTTAAAAATATCGTAAAATATTTATAATATAATATTTAGAAACATAAAAAAATTTTACTTTTTATTTTTATTGATATATATTTTTTACACCAGAGGTAGTCAAATATAATGGCGGATGATTCGGAAGTTGAAAGTTTTGGATTAAATAAACTTTTATATTATCAGTCGGAGCTAGAAGAAGCTCTGTGTGATTGCAATGATGTAGAAAGTAAGAAGGAAAGTATATTTAATTATATAGAAAAGATAACAAGCGACGATTCGTTGAAAATTCCGGATTTTGGATTAGGTAAGTTTTTACTCTGCGTTAAATTGTGGAGAAAATAATAATTACTAAGTTAGAAGCTAAAATTTGTTACTTGTTTCGTCCGTACATTACTTTTCTAGGTCCGAATGAACCGGGAAATTCCTCGATACTTCTATAAGATCGAGAATTGATCATGATCCTCACGTGACCTTTCGCGGGATTCTTCCTCTATCTCTCTCTTTGGACTGTTCACGTGGAGGTGGAGGTTTTATTTAGCCATGTGGCCTTTCTCCTCCGATCTGTCCCTTTATGAGATGTTTATCTCCGAAGATTTGACGATGTCAGTTCTGTTTGCCAGACACACCCAAACTTTGATCTAGTTTCCTTATTTTTAATGTTTTTAGGTAGAAGTTCATCTAGGTAGCCCCCAATAGCGGTACTTCCAAGACTATAGCGTTTAATTATATAGTCCACTTGACTGTTCGTGGAGTAGTTGATGTTATATAGTTTCAGGGGATGTGGAACTCACCCCACCCCAGCACTGAACTTCTCGCTATTGCTTACGCTAGGGGTCAGCAACCTGTTTTTTTTGTAAAGAGCCATTTTAGGAATTATATTTACCAAAATAATACTTACAGAGTCTCAAGTCAGCAACTTGAATTATGAAATACAGTGGGTGATCGATTAACGAACAGATCGGATAACAAACAAATCGGATAACGAACAAATCGGATAACGAACACTTTCGCGAAAGATTTTTATGTTCGGACAACGAACACATGATCGGATAACGAACACTGCACAGAACGAACACAAGAAGAGGCGACATAAAATAATGAATACCGATTGGTCTTCTCTTGTCTTCAGGCAACAATTCGAAACTTTTCGGAGTGTGGGAGATGTCGACATCGACGCTCAAGCCGGTATATACCAATCGGATAGTATTCCTCCGAACTTTGAAACTCTCCCTTGTAATTCCAGCCTTTTATTTTTCTGACAAAACAATTCTTTTATGTATTCGCGAGACTGTCGGGTAGGCACAAGTTAAGTTTTGCGTCTGTTTTTTTTTTCTTTTCAAAAGGTGAGAGTATAATGGCAAAGGTAGAAAGTGGGCAGAAGATGCCTAATGTTGCTGGGCAGTATGGCGTGAACAGGTCTACAGTAGGCCATAGTTCAATCTTATTTAAGAAAAATACTCTATAATCAAGAAGACTCAAGCAGCTAAAGGAGTAATAAAAGTCACATCTGAGAAATAAAGAACATTGAAGAGTTCATAATGGAACCTGAAACGGATCTGACGACAAAAGAACGTCAAAAATTCTTGAATGAAGAACACCAAGATACTCGGCGAGATATGTTTTCTTCTGAAAAAGAGGATTAATGCCGATATTTGCTATTAAAGATCTTTTGAAGAAGTGGGAAGATGTCAGAACAACGGTCTTAGAATGGCATCCAAACCAGGTTGAGGCTTGGGGATTTCTACAATTGCAATGCTATTAATTACTTACGAAAAATCCTGAAGAAGAGAGAAAAGCAATCGACATTAGACAGATTCTTTAACCCTTTCAAACGGAAAAAACATGACTAATAAAAACGCAAGACTGTGCATGTATGTATTTTTATTATTACGTATAAATAAACGTAGTAAGAAAGTATATATTTTTTTATTTTTGGCGGTCTCCAGAACGAATTAATTAAATTCCCATTAAAACCTATGGTAAATCGATAATCGGTTAACGAACAATTCGGATAGCGAACAAAGTCTTGGAACGGATTATGTTCGTTAACTGATCACCCACTGTATACATTTTTGAAAATTGAGTGTAAAACGTGTTTTTTTTTTGTAAAATGGGTTTATTTGTGCTTTGCTTAAAGATGCTGTAATAAAATACACTGCAATTCGATTACTTATTATCAGTGTTACAATATTCGTAATTATAACATATGATTATTAATTTAAAGTAAAAATAAGTAATTTTCAACAACTTTATACATGGTGTGTTCAAAAAGTATTGGACCTTTGGTCGGCAAAAATATATTTATTGACTTTGAGGTACAAAACCCTAATCCCCTTCAGAGTAGTCTCCTTGGTAATGTATACACTTCTCCCAGTATTCCTGCCATTGCTGGAAACACTGCTGGAACGCATCTTTTGGAATGGCCATCAGCCGGTCCGTCGGATTCAGCACGATGTCTTCTCTCGACTAAATTCGGGTTCCTTTTAGCAGCATTTTCAGCTTGGGAAATAGCCAAAGGTCTCACAGAGCCATGTGGGGAGAGTACAGAGCGTGACGAACCACAGGAGTATTGTGTTTGGCGATGAAAGCCCAAATCAGATGCGCAGAATGGGCGGATGCGTTATCACGATGGACACCAGAGGTAGTCAAATATAATGGCGGATGATTCNTTTAAATCTGCTAGTTCTAGTTGAAAAACTGCTTGATCAATATCACTAAAAGGCAAAATATTCAAATCTGTAGAATTGATTTCAAGTAGTCTTAATAAAAATGATAAGGTTGCCTTTTCCTTTCTAAACTCTTTAAATCTCTTACCAAATCTCAATTTCATATTTATCACTATTTGTGCAAAATATGTTAAATCTTTTGAAGTATGATCCTGTTGATATTTCTTCAACATAGGAAAATGTAGCAATGTGCTAAATCCTGTTGTATTTCTCTAAGTCTGCAATAAATAAACATAATTTTTGTTCAAAAGCAAGTACATCTTCTAAAAGCAAAATAGCAGTATTTTTCTTCCCTTGCAGTTTCTTGTTTAGTGTGTTTAAATGTGAGGTCATGTCCACCATAAAATAAAATTTTTGTAACCAATCGTGATTATTGAGCTCAACATATTCAAGATCTTTTTGCTTTAAAAATAATTTTATTTCTTTAATGCAAGCAGCAAATTGTATTAACACTGCTTCTCTGGAAAGCCACCTTACTTTATTGTGTAAAGAAAAAGAACAGAATATTGGCTATTGACTTCGTTAAGAAGTTCACAAAATTGCTGCTGATATAATGGTCTTGCCATTATTTTGTTCACAATTTGTACAACCAGGTCCATAACTAATGTTATTTCCTTCAGAAAAGTTTGCGAACAAAGTACCTCTTGATGGATTATGAGGTGAAAAGAAAAAATGTCATGCAAAATTTGTTTTTTAAAAATAGAAACAAAACCTTTCTTTTCAGCTTTCATACTTGTGTACTTTCATACTTTGATGCTCCATCAGTTGCAATTGATACTATTTTATTAATATCAATATTTTTACTTTTCAAACAATTGGTAACAGCAGATTCTATATCCTCACCTCGAGTTTGTCCAGTAAGTGGCAGTATATCAAGTAACTCTTCCTGAGTTTCGTCAGAGTTAACATATCTACAAATAACTACAACCTGTGCAATATCATTTGCATGGCAAGATTCATCACAGGCAATAGAAAATCCTGGTGTTGAACTTAAATTTGTAATCTGCTGACTAGTTACATCTTCTGCCATACAAAATAGTTCTGTCTCTTACAGTTTTAGTGGACAATGGCATGTATTTTAATTTAGGAATTATTTCCGTTTTATTTTTAAAATTGCAAAAAAGATACTCAGACATTTTAATAAAACAATGTTTCACAAAATTGCCATCCATAAATGACTTTCCCTGTTTGACTATTTCTAGAGAGGCAACAAAACTAGCAGTAGTTGTATTGTTACTTGATTTTATCCAATTTGAAAATGTACCTTTACTTAAGTTCATTTTACATTAAACTTCTTCTATTGCCTTTCTTCTTTCTTCTCTCTTTTGATAAGTGTTTGCAAATGCTTTATGTTTGTTTAAAAAATTCCTTTGTACATTTGATTTTTTGTTATTATAAAACTTTTCTTGACACTTTCATATTAAACACACTGGGAATCCTGTTAAATTTGAAACAACTGCATAGGATTCAGTCCATTCACTTCTAAATTCTCAATTTTCCTCTACTTTTCTCTTTTTTCCAGCCATATTAATTAGAAAAAGTAGAATAGCGATTTTCTACCAATCTAACTAATAAGAAAAATTATGTAAAAACCTGGTTTTTTTTTTTATATCTTATGTGCAAGAAAACAAATAGATAATATGCTCCAGAAATAATATAATTATAATAAACTTACTTGATAAAACAGTAGAATAACTTCTATATAAAACATATCCAATAGAGCGTACAAAACTAAAAGCAGAAAACTTACAGACCACTTGCCAACACAAGAGCAACACTGTAAGTGAGAAATTCTAGAATCATTCAAAATAAAAACAGAGTCATAAATTCTAGGGACAAACAACATCTGTTTTTTCAGTCATAAAAGTAAGGAAACCTTTCTATTTACAGTACAATAAACATTTCTCATGAGCATAGTCTAATTTTTACACTCTGTGCCATCTAAGACTTGATAATTGCAACCAGATGTTCTGTTCTTTATAAATGCTTTTATATGTATAATATTCTTACTCTGACAGTGAAATGATAAGAGATTATTGAAATTAGAAAGTCTTTTAAAAAATATTAGTGGCATTTATGAGTTATCTTTTCTTTTCACTTAAATTAAAAATTTCATTTTGTTATATGTATGTTATTTACTAATTTAAAAACAGCCTCAATTAGTGTTGCCACCTTTTCAAAATCGCTGACCCAGACAGCAGGTCAAGTTT